AGCCAGTGAGCGGGAACCGGTCTGTATGTGGGATCCGAACCCTCGGCGGGAGCGCCGCCACACTCCCAAGCGGCGCACTGTAGCACTGCGCCACCGGGCCGGCCCCATAACTGATTATTTAAACAAAAGTTAAGAACAATGTATTACAGGTTTGTAACATATGTAAAAGGAAAATGCTTGACAAATGATAACGCAGAGGTTAGGAGGAGAGAGATGAAAAGCACACCACTCTAAGGTTGTGACAGTATACATGAAATGGTATGATATCACTTCAAAGTAGACTGTGATACAAATATACAATCTAAAGCAAACATTAAAATGAGAAAACAAAGAGTTATAGCTCAGGAGTGAAAAATGGATGTAAGTGGAAAAAACAATACTTGATTAATGAAAAAGAAACATATGGGACAAACGGAAAATGTATAGCAAGATGACAGATGCAAACTTAATCATATTAATAATCACATTAAATGGAAATGGTCTAAACATTAAAATGCAGAGATTGTCAGTTAAGTTGCAAGTATATACCGCCTACATGAAACACTATTTAAATATAAAGAAACAAAAGATTAAAAACAAAAAGACAGAAAAAGACATACGTGATAACAGTAGTCAAAAGAAAGGTAGAGTAGATATGTTGATATCAAAGTTCAGCTCAGAGCAAAGAATATTACCCAAAGTGAAGATGATCACTTAATAAAAATAAAGGGGTGAATTAATCAAGAAAACATAACAATCCTAAATATTTATCAACCTAATGACAGAACTTCAAAATGTATGATGTCAAAAACTGACAGAACTTCAGAGAAACACATAAATCCATAATTACAGCTGGGGATTTCAATATCTCTCTCTCATTAATTGACAAAATAAGCAAGGATACAGTTAACTTGAACAAAACTAACAACCAACTTTACCTAACTGACTTTTATAGAACACTCCACACAAAAACAATACAATACATGTTCTTCTAAAGTGCATACAGGATAATTAATCACTAAGATAGATTATATTCTGGGCCATAAAACAAGTCTCAATTCAAAAGGATTCAAGTTGTACAAAATATGTACTTTGCCCAGAAGAGAATTAAATTATAAATCCAAAACAGAAGGATCCTTGAAAAAATCCTCTAATATTTGGAGACTATGTAACCTACTTCTAAATAATGTATGAACCAAAACAGAAGAAAAATTAGAAAAATATTTTGAACTAAATGAAAATGAAAGCACAAAATATCCAAATTTGTGAGATGTCACTAAAGCAGTACTTAGAAGACAACTTATAGCACTAAAACACCTATATTCAAAAAGAAGAAAGTTCTCCATCAATGACCTAAAACTGCATCTTGATAAACCAGAAAAAGAACAAATTAACCCCCAAGTGAGAAGATAGG